TTTGTGAGGGGATATGGAAAAATAGCTAAGCCTTTGACGGAGTTGTTGAAGAAAGGCAAATTTTTATGGTCAGAGCAAGCCAGTCACGCCATGGCAGAACTGAAGAAGGCGGTCACTACAGCACCAGTTTTAACTTTGCCTGATTTTAATCAGGAGTTCCACGTTGAATGCGATGCCTCAGGAGGGGGAATAGGAGTTGTACTCACTCAGAGCAAGAGACCCATTGCGTTTTTTAGCAAAGCACTGTCCGAGACGTCCATGAACAAATCGATATACGAAAAAGAGTTAATGGCGTTGGTGTTGGCCATCCAACACTGGAGACCTTATCTACTAGAGAGGAAGTTTGTGGTGCATACTGATCAACGCAGTTTAAAGTATCTATTGGAGCAAAGGATTACTACATACAGCCGACAAAACTGGATAGCCAAGTTGATGGGCTATGATTTTGAAATCATGTATAAGAAGGGGAGTTCCAATACGGTGGCTATGCTTTATCAAGGAAGGAAGCAGGAGAAATGGAGGAGGCAGAGTTACGGGTGATGTCCAGGTCCTATTGGCAGGATTTTCAGGAGGTATTAAAGGAGGTGGAAAGAGATGAGACGTTGAAAAAGATAATAGCTGACATTAAAAGGGATCCCGACTGCCATGCGGCGTATACTCTAGAAAATGACCGACTGCACTACAAGGGAAGACTTATAATATCCGAAACATCTACCTGGATTCCCAAACTATTGGCTGAGTTTCACGTAACGAATACCGGAGGACATTCTGGGGTATTTAGAACAAATAGGAGGATAGCCCAATCGCTTTATTGGAAGGGTATGAAGAAAGATGTCACCAATTTTGTGGCAGGATGCGTAATTTGTCAGCAGCACAAGTATATGGCAGCTTCCCCCCAAGGGTTGTTGCAACCTCTACCGATACCGCAAGCAGTGTGGGAGGAGATCACCATGGATTTTATTGTAAAGCTACCTAAATCACAAGGTTATGATGCTATATTGGTTGTGGTGGATAGGCTGAGCAAATACGCACATTTTATGGCACTTAGACATCCTTATTCGGCTAAAACGGTGGCGGAGGTATTTATCCAAGAGGTTGTCAGGCTACATGGGGTTCCTGTCTCAATTGTGAGTGATTGAGATCCTTTGTTCTTGAGTACGTTTTGGAGGGAGCTTTTTAGAATGCAGGGGACACAACTCAATATGAGTACTGCTTACCACCCGGCCACGGATGGACAGACAGAGGTAATTAATTGGATTTTGGAGGGATATCTCAGATGTTTTTGCTCAGAGCAGCCCAAGACCTAGCATGTAGTGTTACTGTGGGTTGAGTACTGGTACAACACCAGCTACCAGGGAGCTGCGAGATGCACGTCGTTTGAAACGATCTATGGAAGAGCTCCTCCGTCCTTGAACAGATTTGTACCGGGGGAGTCAATGGTAGAGGCAGTCGCACAAGAACTCATGACAAGGGACGAGGCTTTGAGGCAACTGAAATTTCACCTAAGTCGTGCTCAGGATTTAATGGTGAATCAAGCGAATAAGAAGAGAAGAGATGTAGACATTAAAGTGGGGGATTGGGTCTATCTTAAAATTAGACCCCATAAGCAAGCATCAATACCAGTTCGTTTACATCCTAAACTAGCAGCTCGATACTTTGGCCCTTTCCAGGTGCTACAGCAGGTGGGCCCAGTGGCATTCCGACTACAGCTGCCAGAAAATGCACGTATACATGCAGTCTTCCATGTGTCACAACTTAAAAAAGCGGTGGGAACAAAGAAGGTTGAGAAGGACCTACCAACTGAGCTACAAGCAGAGGGGCCTACATATTGGCCAGTGGGAGTGTTGGGGATGAGGCAACGACAGCAAGGGAATGAAAAAATACAACAGATCCTGGTGCAGTGGCAGGAGGGTGGCAGCGAAGGGGCTACGTGGGAAGACGTGTTGACTATTCAAGATCAATATCCTGATTTTAATTTCAACCTTGAGGACAAGGTTGCTGAAGAAGGGGTGGGTAATGTTAGGAAGTTACGTGTATATGAGAGGAGAAAGAGAAGTAATTAGAAGTTAGTTAGACTAACTACGATAACAGTTAGGAAAGGCGGGATGGGTAGTATAAAAGGGTGAATAATTGAATAGAGGGGGGTTGGTTGTTATTTTTGTGAGCTGTACAGGAAGCGTGACTCCTGTAGGGGGGAGGTTAAGCTCTCTAGCTGTATCCAGGCATTGTATTCGTGTTTGTAGATAATACAACGAGAGTTATACAGAAGTTTCTGGTGTGTTTAGTGTGCGTTTACCTTAGGTTCTTGAATTAGGAACCTAACATATATATATATATATATATATATATATATCGACATGAGGAGTGTAATCTTGACAGCTTAAATAGCTATAATATAATCATGCCCATGCCACTAGAGTACGGATCCATCACTTTATATTGAAATCACAAAAATGTTTTGGTACCTTAGAAAGATCCAGAGAAGGAGGAATGACTGTGGATCTGATCTTCAACAGACACCTTTCTGAGGCATCCCTCTCCCTTTTATCTGTGCTAAGAAGTCTTCTGTATATTGGGGGAGCCCATATATGGGATGAGCCTTTCATTTGCTCGCTTAATTGACCTGATAGCTTCATTACAGCCTGTAATTCAAAGGTTAAAAGATCAGTATCATTAGAAAACTGCTAACCTAAAGATGACTTTCAAGAATAAGTATGCAACGAGAACCAGACCACTACAATCACCAGGCATGCATAAAAGAACATCATCTTTAATTAGTGAGTGTTAAAAAAAACATGATCAAGAAGCCAATATAACATTAAAAGATTTGAAATACATGGGCACGGTTTTGCTTTCAAGGTTATAGTAACATGTGATACTGATAAGATATATATTTAGCGCTAGTAAAAACACTGATTATTTTTATCCTCTCTGCAATATATTTTAAGGGAAAAATGCTCGTCAACTTGGTAAGCATTGTTGAAAAAGACAACAAAGGGGAATTGGTTGATCTATAAACATTCTAAAATGACTAAAAAGTCTGGAGTTCGTTTATTTTGTTCCTAATTTTATTTGACAAAACTTAAAAGCAGTTCTTTAGGTTCTTTTAAAGCTATTCTTTAAACCAAATTAAAGTTTCACCTTAGTGAATTATGTAACTGTGGTGACTTTAAATACAATTTTTATTGTGGAATTATTGAAGTTTAAATATGATAATTGGGAAACAGCAAAAACAACTAAGGAACTACATATAAGTTATTTCAAATATTATTTGACCTCGTAAAGCACCAACAATAAAGAAGGGAACTGTACCTGTGTAGCTTCAAATGTTGTGGACAAAGAACCCATGGGATTGTCTAGGGCATGAACAATTGCCCCTAACAAATAGTGAAAGTGAATAACAAGAAATGTTGCACCCAACTGTTGGACAGACAAGCACCATACCCCTAAATTACAAGCAGACTGTATAGAACAGTCAAGAGAGATAATGTAAACAACTAAACATAATACATAAAAACTCTACTAAAACTGAAAACACTAATCAATATTAAAAAGAACATCATACGAGCCTTTAATTTTGTGGTTGTAATAAGTTTGGGCAATGTACTCAGAACCAAATTGGCATCATCCACTGCAAAAGCAAGGAAAAATAAGCTTTGCACAAAACCAAATCGATAGGTTGAAAAACAACTGCTAAACCAGATACCTCGAAGGACGGAAACAATGGATGGATGATAAAGCATGAACCCCAAACACTTCAACGCTTGAGTGGCACTGACAGATAATTAGATAGATTAATTAATGGAAATCCCAATTCTACAGAGAAAACAAAGAAAGATGTTTAAACGATTGAATGGTGAGAAAGTGAAAGTTTGTGCTCACATTTCTTCGTCGTGGTCGTCGACGATGTCGGAAACAATGGAGGAGATTATGGATTGGGCGGAGTGAGCGAGGAATTGGAGCGAAGAAGCGTTGACGCAAGAATGTTGCTGAAATTGCAAGAGGGATGAATAGCCTGAGGATTTGTTGAACTTGTCATTTGAAGAAATTAAAGTGTTGATTTCTTGAATCTCTTCTGACATCGTTTTCTTACAAAGATTTCTGAATGATGAAGAAACAACTCGGTCGCAGTCTCACACTACCTCGTCGGCGCGCCGGAGAGAGACGCCAGAAACCAATCCTTCGCGCCAAAACCCGGTTTCGCGGTAAACCCCTCACACAGGAAAAGTGCTCTTTAATTGATTAAAAATGCTATCAGAATAAACACCACTCTTATAAGAAAATAAGTACTTTAAAAATGAGGTACTGACCCTCTTTTATTAATATTTTTTATTTCTCAATGTAAAAAAATTGATTGATGAGTACAAATAATTTGAGAATTTTGGGATAGTTAATATGAATTGTTATTTTAAATATCAATTTAAATTATAATTCATAAATTAATTATAATTTTTTATTCATAATACAAATTATTTTATATCAATAGTTTTTAATTTATAAAATAATATTTAAATTAGTTAATATAGTGATTAATTATTTTTTATCTCTAAAATTTAGTGATATTTAATCATTTTCTAGACCAATAATCCTTTAGTTGTGATAGGGGTTTTGATTTCCTTATACGTGTCATTTAGTTTTTTTTTACTTCTCAAAAGAATACAGACATGAATGGTGAACTAAAAGGTATATAACACATTATTCACAAAATATTTTGTATATGATATGTGAATATATTAAATTATGCAAGTAACGTTATTTAAAGACATTGCATTGCGAGGACAAAAGTAATGGACATGGATTACAAAATATTACACATTAGGGTGATACAAGGTTAAACATAAACCTAAAAGTTAAAATATACACATTATACTATAATTGTGGAATTTAACTATTTTCGCTTATTAGTTTGAGCAAATGGTTAAGGTGAAGATGTAAGGTTAATTTGCATCGTGTATCACGGGTTGTTAGATTGCTCATCTTATAAAAAAATGTTAATTAGTGGTAGATTTTATATTATTCATACTTGTGATCGAATTTTAAAACCCTCTTAAATTGAGGTCAATTAATGGTTTAATATGTAAATAATAGTGAATAGTATTTTGAAGATATTTAAATATTCTTTGGATAGCTTCTAAATTATGCATAGTAGTAAAATTTATGAATTAGACTAAACTTTTTACTGAAAGTTTTATGTCAAATGTTTGTGTTTGTTAAGTATTAGTGTGTTCTAATAGCTTGTTTAAACATGGTTGGATCTTGTAATTTATCTCTTTCAAATGTAAATTGTTTGTCCGTTACCACACATACGTTGGGTGAGGTGATTTTTCATGTTAAATTTCCTCATAATATTTCATGTAAATTGTTTGTCAATTACCATAATGTTTCTTTGAACTTCTACACATAAAAAGTAGTGTAAAGAACCTTAAGTGAAAACACAACATTGATTTATTTGATGAAAGACTCTAAAATTTTGGTATTATTTTCAATGACAAATATATCATCCACGTATATAAACAAAAAGATGTTTTTCTTATAATAAAACAAACAAATTCGTGCTATTTCAACATCAAGGTAAAACAAAAATACAGTTTTTCTTAATTAAATTATTCATTTGTGAGAATTTAGAAAATAAATATGCCCATTTGTTTATCTTTGTACCTATTATAAAGTCTTTTAAATTGAGAATTTGTCTAACAAAAATCATCAATTTGTCTTACAAAATTCATTACTTACTTGGTACAGGTTGAAATTTGATGTTTCAGTAATTTATTTTGGTTGAGTACATATGTTAATGAATAAAAATGTTTGAAACTTTAGTTTTAAGTTGATTGAAAACAATAAATGTTATTTTTTAGTGAAAATTACGAGTTTTACATCTTGACTTTTCTTACACATTTTGTCTTAAGACCAAGATTTATCACAACAAATTAGAGGCAACGAACACAAATACTAATTTCTACTAAGAAAAAATTGAAATAAAATATAATAACTCCAATTATATAAAAAAATGTTTTTTGAATTTTAATACAATTAATAACCTCGTATTACTTAAAAGACTTAAAAACTCCAATCTTGAAAATGGACAACACTTATTCACTAACCCTTAATTGAGAAAATGAAACTTAATATTGTTATTCAAGTAACTTAAGATTAACAATATCGAAAAAATATTATTCTCTAAAAAAATCCAGTTAGCATATTTTATCATAAAAAAACTGAATTTAATTTTTAGTTTTGAAATTAAAAGAGTTGTGTTTTAGAAAGTTTTAAATTATTTAGCACTTTTATGTATATGTTCACAAATGGTTGTATCAGAAAATTTTAATTGTCTTTGCATAGTGCTGAAATTTAATAAATTAGTGATTACTGAAGGATGGAAGATAATCCTTAAGAGATTAGTATGAGTATTTTGTTATGTAATGTACTAATAGAATATCCATGCTTTTGGTTATCTGTTACTGTTAAATTTTAATTGTGTTTGTATGGTGCTGAAATTTAATAAACCAGTGATTACTGATATGAATGTATTTATCTATTTTAGGTGTATTTTTTTTTATTTGAATGTTGAGTGGCCACGGAGGAACAACAATTATAATGACTCTAGTCATTATCTCGAAATTTCTAACTTTCACTTTAAAAAATATGTATTTATTATAATTTATTTTGTAGATTATGGGTAATTACATTTCATACGTTTTGAATAAAACCTTTATTCTTATATCTTAATAAAAAAAACACTTTTTTCCTTAATTTTAAATATTATATTGATTAAAATTTAAATTTAAATTAACAATTAAAACTTTTAAATACAGAATAAGTTTTTTTTAAATATAATAAAAATTGTATTGTAAACAATTATAAATTATATTTTAAAATATCAAGTTATATTTTAAATAAAATATTATTTTAACACACAATGTAACATCTCATCTTAATAGTGTTAAACTATTAAATAAAATGTTCCAAAGATGATAACTAACAAAAAAAACCTATATATTTTTAAAGGAAAATATTTATATTTGTTTAACAAAAACCTAATTATGTTGTTGCTTCACCTCTATCCTCACAAGATCAACTGAAAAGACGTCTCCTATGCCCAATATTATATACAAAAAAATCATTCATGTAATAATAAAACATCATACAAATGCAAATGCAAAACCACAGTGTCGCTCACTCAGCGAGCATAGATTCGCTCAGTAAGTCTGTATAATTTTGCATAACCTATACTTCCCATACCTCACATGTTCTAACTATTATATATCCACACACACCTCCAAACCTTACAGTGAACTAATCAATGTTTATAACTCAACCTAAATATTATAAGTATTGTTATAGTCAACCAACACAACTTTAAACCTTCATATTCTCCATTTCACCCTTACCTCAAAATCTCACCTATCAAACCTCCCATTTACCACTAAACTACCCTATAGGTCTTACCGATTCACAATTTCTCAAGTTACCATCATCTTTTTGGTTATCTAAGGACTTATACAATATTTAAATTACTCTAAACCAAATGTCAAACACCCATTATCATTCCAAAGTCACTCATGTAAAAAACCACATATTAAAACCTTAATTTGGACTAAAAGCTAGTCCAAAAACACTCTCAATTTTCTACTTTCAACTTTACACCAAATTTGCACCTATAAAACTTCAAAACAACAACATTCAAAGTTCACACCATTATCAAATCACAAGTATACATTGTAATATTCATAACTAGGCAATTACGCGCTCGCCAATATGCAACATCACAACAAACATTTCAATTAATATCATATTCAACCAACCATAAATTCCACTACTTATCAAACACAATTTCATGTTTTTTCATACAAATTAAAGAGAATATAAGTTTATGACCAAACAACTCTAGGAAGCCTAAAGCCCTAAACGCATAATAAGTCATATATGCTCATATGAACCACAAAAGCACGATCAGAGTACATTGTTGAAACCACTAATCAACAGAGACTCGTATAAAAGACTCAAACTTAACCTACAAAGTAAGGAAGATTAACATGCAAGAAATAAAAAAAATTGACAAAAGAAGTAAGCAGAAAGTCAACTTACTCTATTGAATAAACTAATAGGTTAGACTTGAAGATCTCACTGTTGTGATCACTCAGGCGGTCTATGATATTCAGACAAATGAACCTTAGAAAGAAATCAAAGAACTTTAAAAAAATATTTTTTAATAAATATAATGTGTTTTAAAACAATGGAACTTGTTTAAAACGAACCTATTTATATTTAAATAATCAAGTTTTATTATTTTAAATTACCACCACCTATAAAACAGTATTTTCTAAGTCTTTACACACAAATAAATAATTTGACGGAGAATATTATATTATATTAATTTGTGAACTTATTATTACACTTATTCATGACTTTAATACAAGTAAAATATAAATAAAATATAAGCTAACACAAGTAGGGATGACAATGAGTCGGGTCGGATACGGACCTGCAAATGAAAACTCTGCCTACTACTCGTACGGATACCCTTTCAAAAAAACTCACGGATATCCGCAGGTACTCGCAAATATTAAAAAAATATATTTTATACATTTTTAAAATAAAGTTGAATTAAAATTACAAAATAATATATAATTTTAAAATAAAGAAAATAAAATATAAATTAAAATTTAATTTTAATTAAATTTAATCTAATAAAATATAAATTAATTTTATTTTAAATTAAATTAAATATAAATTAAATTATTATTTTTATTTTTTCCAGTAATGGGTATCGACATGTCAGATAATATAATATTCGTACCTGATTCGTTTATAAGTGGATATTAAAATACTTGTTGTCGGTAACCTGCGGATAGTAAATATTCGCGAATACCAATTATCTCTCGCATATTGATTTTTTGCCATCCCTACATATAAGAGAGCTAATTACTTATTTGCAAATTAGAACGTAGTCTCACTGTTGACATGTTATTATTTTATTTGTTGGTTAGATACCATTACATTTGAAAAACTAAATATTTTCAAAATTTAATTTTTAGTTTCCTATTTTTTACATAGAACAAAAAAATATTATCACATTATTAAAAAATAAAGAAGATATATGTCATTTATTTCAAATATAAGAAAAATGAATATATATTTAAAAATTAAAAGAAGCGTAACTATTATTTTATAAAAATGTATTATATATATATATATATATATATATATATATATTAAC